GCGGGGGGGGGGGGGGGGGGGGGGGGGGGGGGGGGGGGGAATTTACCTGGATTGAGTAGGAGACCAGGACGCTTTAAAGCCAGCTAGGATATAAGCTCAATTTGGTGTAGTTTTTCATTTGGGAGAATTGTGAAAAGATTTTTTAAAACAGCGTTAACCAATGGTGGCCATTTTAAGACCTGTGGACTTCAACTCCCAGAATTCCACAAGTCTTAAAGTGGCCGAGTTTCAACACTCCTGTTCCAAAGCCTCCCTAAAATAGATGAACTCGGGCACTCACCTGGCTATAATCTTTGAAATACTTGTATGACCTTCGCAGCTGTTGAAGGATCACCACATCTGTAAGCCAAAGGGAAGAAAGCACATTGCAGAACCAGGGGAAGCATCTCGCCCATTGCTGAGGGAACCCTGTCATTCTGCAGATTAGAAGTCTAAGTATAACTCGACAAGCACCCAGTCCGATACGTCTTTCGCTCCTGGGTGCTGGCATGTATAACGAGAACCGGTTCCGATCCTGATTCAGAGGCCCATGAACTGCACTTCAGGCTACATTTAAATGCCCTCAGAAACCAGCAGTACAACTTCTACTTTTTAAGCAGGTATTTTCTACTTCTACTTTTTAAGCAGGTATTTTCCTGGGCAGGCAATGAGGGAACCGCTGCATTACTTCAAACCCTCCGGCTTCATGCCTGGATGCCTCCGCTGGAATAAAAACACAGGTGGTCCTAGACTTACAACCGTTCATTTAGTGGCTGTTTCAAGTTACCAGGGCGCTAAAAAAAAAGTGACTTTTGACCAGGTCTCGCATTTAAGACCACTGCAGCCTCCCTGTGGTCATGTGATCAAAATTCCAGGGCTCGCCAGCCGATATGCATTGATGATGATTGTTGTGTCCCGGGGGGTTGTGTGATCACCGCTTGTGGCCATCCCTGAGAAGCAAAGCCAAGGCAGGAAGCCGGATTCGTTTAAGGACTGCTCGGCCCACTTAAACTGCAGCGATTCGCTTAACAACCGTGGGGGAAAGGTTGTAAAATCCGGAGCGACTCGCTTATCAACGGCCTTGCTTAGCAAAGGAAGTAATGCTCCCAACTGGGTCGTCAACCGAGGACTACCCGTCAGTCCCCAGAAGGAAGTGGGTGTGTGACTGTGAGCAAAGCTGCAGCTCCAGCCTGGTTCCTTCTCCCGGCCTCTCCCCCCTCCCAACCATCTGATGTCGCTGGAACATATGTGGGGCTGCAGCGCTGCCCCCCGCCCGCCCCCCCCAAACCTACAAGGGATTCTCCGCGGGCCAGCTTGCTTAAGCAGAGGTCAGGCTGGGGAAGAAAGAGCGTGTGAGCCGGTCCGCAGCCTCCCCACCAGCCCTGTTAACTATCCCTCTGAGATTACAGCTTCCCCATTGGAGCCGCCAGGGTTATTCAAACAGAAGCTCTAAGTTAATCAATCAAAGGCAGGCCGGCTGAATGGGGTGTAATTTGGGGCGCATTGTTATGGTAATGGGAGCGGAGCAGCTGGGCCGCCACCGGGAGGAGGAGGAGGAGGATTCGGGCCCCGGTGGAATCCCAGGAAGAGGCACCCCGTCGCCCCCCTCCCCAAATATTGAGCGGCAGCAGGCAGAAATGAGCTGGAAGGGACCTTGGGGGTCTCCTCGTCCGACCCTCTGCTCAAGCAGGAGCCCCTGTCCAGTCTCTTCTTGAACACCTGCCGTGTTGGAGCATCCACAGCCCCTTCCTCCCCTGGCTAATTCCTCCTCAGTTCCGGGCTCCTTCGTGAGTTCCTTCTGTTGTCCCTTGTCCTGCCCTCTGGGGCTTTGGGAAATAAGTTGGCCCCCCTCTTCTTTGGGGCAGCCCCTCATATCCTGGAACACGGCTATCACCTCAGGCTTCATGACTGGGGCTTTTACAGAAGATCCTGGACAGCTGCCTGTCTGAAATGGCCTGGGGTCATTCCTGCTTGAGCCTGGGGTCAGACTAGAAGACCTCCAAGGTCCCTTCCAGCTCTATTCTGACTAAATCGAACTCTTTCAGGAAAAGCTAAGTAAACTCTCCGCTTGGGTAAGGGATTCTTTCATTCTTCCCTCCAAGCCTCTATAAAGGAAACAATCCCGGAAGGGAAAGAGAGGAGAGAGGCCGCCAAGAGCAGCGTCACAAACAGTGAAACGAACCGGGGTTCCCCGCCAGGTGTGCAGGTTTTTTTCCACCAAGGAGGGGTGAGTTAGCTGAAAATCTGGAAGGAAGGGAAGGGGGGGGGGGGAAGAAGGAGGAAATTTATGGTGGGGGCAACAATGAGGCTATGCCTTTTAATCTGTCAGCACATATGCCTGGGTGAAAGGAACCGGGAAAGGCGGACTTCTGCACCTCCCCCAAAGAAGCTCCCCCGTCCGCCCCAGGACGGCCCTCCCCTCCCCACCCTGGTCCGAAGTGTTCCACCACAATCTGCTTTGGGGAAGCCGAGGCCAGGTCCCATCTGGCCCTCTGCGGCACATGGCGGCCCCTGCCTCCCTCCCTCCTCCGTTTCCAAAGCTCAGACTGCAACGACTCTTCCTGAAGAACGAAGGCAGATCTCTGCGTGTCCCAGGATAATGCTGCAGGATCCAAACTGGGCCGGTCCCCAGTTCAGAGGTTTTGCCTTCTGAGCTTTTGGAAGTAGTTTCCGGGGTTCTGATAACCAACCCGGGTTGGATTCTTCCTTAAAATCTGCAGCAGGCACCATGTTTTGGGGGAAAGAGAAGTTGGCATTCTCCAACTTGGAGTTTGGAATTATGAAGAGCCATTCCCTTTCTACTCTTAATATAATGACATCCAGAAACAACGGATAGAAGCTTAACAAAGAGAGTTCTGATCTAGGAGGAGAAAATTCCACAGAAGAGAGAGAAAGAGAGAACAATTAAAACAGGGGGACGACTTGCCTTCAGAAGCCGTGGGTGCCCCATCAAGAGTCAACTGGGCCACCATTTGACTGGGATGGAATCAAGCTCCTGCCTTGAGCAACCCCTGAAGTCCCTTCCAGCTCGACCATTCCACTGTTCCACTTATAAGACACTGCTCAGCTCCAACAACCCTGAAGACACCCAGGGAGAGTTGTGCCCTTTGGGATGGCTGGACGCCAAGGGCCAGAACTCTTATCTAAGGGGTCACCAGGTCAACCTGTTCAACAAAGCAGGGGTTTCCCAACCTGGCAGCTTTAGGATTTGTAGACCTCAACTCCCATGAAGTCGGGAGTGCCCCGTTTTAAAGCAAAGCGAAGGAGGATGCCTACAACCCTGCAGGTGGGGCTGTTCAGGCCAAGCAAGTGGCAGGAATCTGCTGCAAAAGCAGAGACGATGCAACCTCGGAAGCAACCCAAAGATGTCAAGACCCCCAAACTGGCTTTCCCAGCTGCCTCTCTCGTCAGGGAGACATCTGGAATGCTCGTGACACGCTTTAGCCACCCTGGCGCCCTCCGAGGCCTTCATTCTTCCCCATTATCTGAGCACCAGGGAAGCTGGCCTCCAGCTATGTGCAAGGGCAGGGAGGAGGAGGAGGGGGGGAGGGGGAAGACCCTAGATCACCCCCCCCCCCCAAACTTGGCAACTTTAAGACTTGTGGACTTCAACTCCCAGAATTCCCCATAGCTTGGGGACCTCTGTCCTATATGGTCTGAGGAATGGAGCACTGGGAGGTCGGCTTCCTATCCTGCAAAGTCCTGCCCCACCGCCTGCTTTCGAAAACAGGGCCTGCTGCCTTTTTGGGGGGGGGGGGGCAGGGGGGGAGGAAAGAAGCCCCCGCACTTGTGTGGCCGACGGCAAGGGGAAAGCGATGATTCTGGTCATTTCTGCCCTCCGCTGCTGCATTCAAGGAATATTTGCTTTTTTTTTAAAAAAAAAGGGTGATTAAGAGCTGAGGGCACCAGGTCACAGCTGCAGCGACCCTGCTTCTGGTTCAATGCGCTTAATCCCTCCACAGAGTGGCTTCTAGTGCAATTCAGCGGAGGCCGGACCCAACCGAGGGGCTTAAGGTAGTGAGGCGTATTGATTAGCTGAAAATAATTTCTCACTTTGCTCTTAAGAAACGCAGCCAGGATACTAAATTCCGCAACTGCAAATAATACGCAGTAAACATTCCAGTCGTGTTTGCCTTGGATGATGGGGGCGACTCCAGATTTACTTCTGCAATCTCTTCGCTCCCGTTCTTGACCCTCAAATCAGCCTGTTGACCAGAGCCCATCCAGGAAATTTCCAAAAAACCCAGGTCTTGTCTACTTACCGTTATCAAATTCATCAGGAATCTGGGGTGGAAAAAAAGAGAGAAAAAACAATTATGTCTGTGGAGATTCTCAATCCTCCAGGTCATAGTTGTCCCAAAGGTGCTTTTGAGAGAAAACAGTGTGTTTATTTTGATTCCAAGGGTCGACTTCATATCCCAAACTGGGGCCTGGGAGGGGGGAAACAACGGACACACAGCAACACACGTCTACCTGTTTCTTTGTATCCCACCCTTATTTTTACAAATAACTCAAGGAGGTGAATAATACTCTTTCCTCCTCCTCTTTCCTCCACCATAACAACCCTGGCAGGTGGGTTGAGCTGAAAGGGGAAATGGCCAGGTTACCCAGCTGGTTTCCATGACTAAGGTGGGACTAGAACTCCCAGCCACCTGGTGACTAGCCCAAAGTCACCTAGCTGGCTTTTGTAGCTAAGGCAGGACTAGAACTCCCCATCTCCTGATAACTGGCCCAACATCACCGAGGTAGCTTTCATGCCTAAGACTGGACTAGAACTCCCCGCCTCCTGCTTTCCAGCCTGATGCCTTCACCCCTGAACCAAGCCGGCTTTTTCCAGCCAACGCCTCCAGATGTGCTCAGATTTAATGGCCTGAATTACTCACAGCCCTCAGCGCTCGGTTGGCCAAGACTGGGCTGCGGTACTCAGGGCTGAGTGAGGCAGGCCAGTAGCTGCTACGGTTTGTTTTCTTCCTTTCGTGTTTAGTTCAGACTGGTCAGGCAAGCAGGTCAGCGGAAGACCGGCCAGGTCAAAACAGAGGGCAGGAAGGAAGAGGGGACGGGGAAGGACATGGTTAATTCGGGGGTAGTTTTATTCCCAGTGCCTTTCCAGAAGCAGGAACAATAATAGAAAAGAAAAGAAAAGAAACCCAGGATATGATGGAGACGCAGCACTGAGTAGGTAGAGGAAAACAATGCCTGGTGTAACACAGGAATTTGCAACCAGAAAGATCATCTCTTGCTTTGTTTGTTCTCCAGGACTCTTTGAAAATAGAGGAATGTGTGAATGCATAAAACACAGATGCACCATAACGTGTGGAAATAAAGCTTCACGGCAGAGAGAGCCAAGCCTGGCCACTTTTAAGACTTGTGGACTTCAACTGCATAGCTGGCTGGGGAATTCTGGGAGTTGAAGTCCACACAGTCCCTTCCTCCCGTTTTCCTGCAGATGCTGTACGGCTAGTCCTCGACTTAGAACAGTTCATTTAGTGACGGTTCAAAGACACAACGGCCCTGAAAAAAAGTGACTCGTGACCGTTTCCCACACTTCGGACCATCGCAACATCCCTGCGGCCACGTGATTGAAATTCGGACGCTTGGCAAAGTGACTCGTATTTATGACGGTTGCAGCGTCCCAGGGTCACCTGATCCTCTTTTGCGACTTTCTGACCAGCAAAGTTGACGGGGAAGCCAGGTTCACTTAACAACTGCAGTGATTCACTTAGTAACCGTGGTAAGAAAGGTTGCAGAAAGGGGCAAAATTTCACTTAGCAACAGAAATCTGGGGCTCTGTTGTGGTTGTAAGTCGAGAACCACCTGTACTGAATGCTCTGGGGAAAAAGAAATCGTTTGTCCAGGTTGAGTTCCTACGTAAGGCAGGTGAGCAGCCCCTCCAAGAGACCCGCTGCTGAGCAAGAGGAGGGGGCCTGGGGCAGCCCCCAGCGTTGGTAGCTCAGAGCTGTGTGCTTCACAATCCGCCAAAGGGACGACAAGGACTTTGTGGGTGAGCAGAATCCTTCCCGGATGCCCACGCAAGCTGTGCTGGGGAAGGAAGGAGGAGGAGGACACGTTCGTTCGGTCAGAGCAAGCAGCCTCAGCCATCTTCTTCCAGAAGTCAGCAACCCCTTTTGCACCGTTTTTTTTAAAAAAATACTTGTGGGTGTTTGCACAAGCAACGAGTTTTGGTGCACCAGCCAAATGGCCTTCACACCTCCGAACTGGGCGGTTGTGGCAAAGGAGTAGGAAGCAGCCCTTCTGTGTTCCCAGCCAGCATGTGGAGCCCTCAGCGCTAGACCCTCCAGAGTCAAAGCACCTTTTGAAGGGTCATGCTCTATCTAGGAGCCTCCTTCGATACACTGCACCAACTTCAATAGCCTTGAGACGAACCCTAACGGAAACGAACCAAGGAGAGACGCAACCTGGAATTAAGGAGAAACTGCCTAACAGGAAGAACTATGAACCAGTGGAACAGCTGGCCACCAGAAGTTGTGGGTGCTTCATCACTGGAGGTTTTTAAGAAGAGACCGGACAGCCACTTGACTGAAATGATATAGGCTCTCCTGCTTGAGCAGAGGGCTGGACTAGAAGACCTCCAAGGTCCCTTCCAGCTCTATTCTATTTGATATCACTTCTTTTTCCTAGCCTGCCTTAAACTGCAAGCTGATTTTGTGTTCAGATTAAAAGTTAAGGCTAAGAAGAAGAGCCGCTCATGAATTCCTGTCCCAAATCCCCAAAGGTTCAAAAGCTGCCGAAACAGAGGGACTCTGGATTTCTTACCACCAGAGCCTAAATGGTTAATGGCACCTGCACGGCCAGCAACCCAATCACAGTCACCAAACAATATACAACTAAAAATGGCAAAATGAAAGCACGCAAGCCACAGCCACCATAATAAACGGATGATGTCATTCCATTCTTCCCAGGCCGCCCCAAACAATTCAACTTTCAAAAGGCTTACGGAAAGGCAGGAGCAGGGAGCCAATCTTGTTTTTGCAAGGTGGGCGTTGGTGGGTGTGATCCCACTGTAGGGGGACCCCTTCTGAGGATCAGCACCTGCACAACTCAGCCCCAACCAAACGCAGGGCTCACCCACCTTGGCAAGTTTAAGACTTATGGACTTCAACTCACAGCTGTGCTGTGCTGGCTGGGGAATTCTGGGAGTTGAAGTCCTCCGTGCTTAAAGTTGCCACGGTGGGAGACCCCTGCCCAGGAGGAATGAACAAGTGGGGGAGCAGGAAGAAGAGATACAAGATTTTTTTTTAAAAAAAAATGGGCAGCCCTTTTTATCACAGGCCTGGATCCCCCGTTTCTCTTACTGATTTCAAACACCACAAAGGTCTTCCACATTCTCACCCTACCCACAACGACGGCTTTATTTCCTTTACTATCTTACAACCGAGCGTGGCACAATTTGATTCCGATTCCAAGGAGGCGAGAACCAAAAAGGGGAAAAAGACAACGGAGAGGTGGCCGGTTTGTTAAGCAGCACCGTGCAAGTATGAATTTAATCTGCCCGCAGCCAACTCGGATGGCGCTGCATTTCAGGTTTGCAAAGTCTGTTATCTTAGGGTCAAAATAATCCAGCTCTAATATCATGAAATAAGGCTGAACCAGCTCTCTCCCCAGAGCCCAGGAGGACTCGCTGGCCAACGCAGCCTTTCAACCCTGCCTGTTTTTGAAAGCACCAGCTGTTTGAGCCCCAAAGAATCACCCATACAAAGTGACAATAGGTCTTAATAGATCTTAAAACAACAATGGTCTCCACACACACACACACACACACACACACACACACACACACACCCCATCTGATCGTGCATGAGTGCATGAATACAGAGCCATCCTACCAGGACAGCAAGAAGTTTATTCTTTTCAGCTACAGGTGCAGAAGGAAAGCAGCTGTTGGCTTAAACTGCAAAGCTCGGACCGGTTCTAAAATTCCTCCGTTTCAACCCCGGCAGGGCTCGGATCAATCCCAGGGCGGCGGATACTTTTTACAAAAAGACAGGGCGATGGTTTTAATCATCTCAGGGTCTACCTTTCCAAATGCTCTGGACCGAAGGCCGCGTGAAACAGAGCTAATCCCTGGCTGAGGGACACACGCCAGCTCACAAGCCATTGTTCTGTTTTACTTCTTTGGCCTCGAAATTTGGGATTATGTAAAGTGAGGCGGAAGGAAGAGGCCAAGCCGAAGAGACTGTAAAATGCACCAGTGAGAACCCAGGGCCTGATCCGCTTTGTTCCAGGCAACGGAGCGTCAACTTGACAGGGCAGGAAACTGAGGCTGACAATGGAGAACAGGCTGTGTCCTGCCGCACAATGGCAGCTGCCTGGGGGTCTCAGCCCCTCCCACCCTCCTTAACCAAATCCAACCACCGCTGCCAGATTTACCCAACTGACTGTGTCAAGTGTTGGATTCATCTGCAAACTTGTTAACCGGAGGAAATGCGGAGTTGCTACGGGGATGCCGTCTCGAGGGAAACAGGGCACTCGATTGGGCCAGAATGTAAGATTCCCGATTTCTCTGCTGGTCTAAAGCCAGAGAGACTCGCAAAAGAACATGTGGGGATTCCTCGACTTACAACCCTTTGTTTTGGCACTGAAAAAAGGGGACTTGGGACCGTTTTTCACACTGGTGACCGTGGCAGCGTCCCCGTGGCCACGTGATCCGGAATGCAGGATCAGTGCAGGGACTCTGGATCACAGCCAGCAAGGAATTCCATCCAGCCGAGAAGTATTTCCACAGGAAAAAATGCCCCTCTTCCCTGCAAATACTTCGCCCTGGAAGGAACGGCACTGTCTGTCCCCACTGCCCTCCCAACCAGCACGCAGAGCCCAACTGGACAAGATGGCCTTCCCATCTAGGGATAGGTGGATTGGGAAGCCCAGAGAGGCCGGGTTGAATTCAGGAGTGGAGGCAGCCAAGTGCAAGGTGAAGATCCCTGGCAAATCGGCTTTCACCTCGAGGGAATGTAATTCTCTGCTTTCTACCAACATTTCAGCCAGCATTTTGAAGCTCAACGGCACCACCTGGAGAGTAAGGGCCGGGACACCTACACGCCTTAAGCGTTGCAGTCCTCCAGAGACCCCTATCTGGTAAACGGAACCGGCACTTGAACCCAGGGGTTTCTAAGAGGGCGAGAAAAGGTTTCCCTGTGATTGCTGCTAAGTCACGTTCAACTCTTTGCAAACTATGGATCGCAGGCCCCCCCCTGCCCTCCCCGCCTCCCGGAGTTTGCCTCAACCGTTCACGCTCGATGCTTCCGTGGACCCTTCTCTAGCCCTCTCCTCCTCCTCCTCTGCCTTCCCCCGCTTCTCATTTTGCCCCCCTCTTTCCCAATATCAGGGCCTTTTCTAAGGAGTCCTCTCTTCTCATTCGGTGGCCAAAGTATTTGAGCTTCAGGATCTGTCCTTCCAAAGGGCAGTCAGGGTTGATTTCTTTTAGGATTGACGGATTGGATCTCTTTGCATCCAAGGGACCCTCAAGAATTTCCTCTAACCCTCAAGAGAGGACCTGAGGTTCCAAAACGCCAGCCCCAAAGGAAAGAAAGGGTCAGGAAGACACCACTGAAGTCCCTACGCAAAACAATATCAAGGAGTTCTCCTAAAAGGTCCAAGAGGCAACGAGGATAACCACGAAGCAGAAGGCTCTTCCGGATTTTGCCAACTGTGATCTCTTTCCCAGGGTGGCTCACTTACCCTACCCTAAGCACAGCTTTTCAAAAGTTGCCAACATTTTGTTTCCAGGACTGAGGCTGGAAGATCAATGCAAATGGGAAGAGTGAGAAAGGAAATTTGTAATAAAAAAAGATCAAGAGGCGGATCCACACTTCTCAGGACACGGAAGCCAAAGGAAAGTGTGGGAAAGAAAGAAACAAAAGAAAGATCAAAACCCCAGCCTCTTTTACAGCCACTTAGGCCGAGATGGGCCTAGGCGGGACGAGTCCCCTTGAGCCCAGGCCATGCCATGCGACTTGCAGGAAGCTGTGAAGTGTGCCAGCCGGGGCCTTCAGACCAGGCACATTTGCCCTCACGCCTCACTGTGGCCATTCGCATGAATGCGACAGGCAGCCTGAAAAGGGGTCATTAGCAAAACCAAAGGGGTCTTACTATGGCCCCAGAGCAGGACGGGAAGGGGCAGGCGGGGAGAGGCACAGAGCCACTTCAAAGCAAGGGCCATTTGCAAGGACCCTAGACATCCTGTCCCTTGGCTTTCCCCCCAGAAGAGGGGCTCAGGTTTGAGACACGCTTATATCCATCCAACTTGCACTATTTGAGATAGCCCACCATGGAAGAGAATATTCTACATCCTCTTCTATAAGAGAGAAACGTATGTAAGTTCTTTACTTACTCTAGCCAACACGGTAGAGTAATTATTTCTCATATTAATAGGATAATTTCAGGGGGATTGAGCTGTCTTACCGTATATCTCCTAATTATCCAAGGCATAATGATGACACAGAAGCTGAAAAGTAGAGATTTCACAAGGAAGAGTTATGACACAGTTCTCCCTTCTTAAAACTTGATTTTTAAAGGATGGGGAGGGGAGAAGAAAGTCCACTTAAAAACCAAACATTTGTGACTATACATTGGTCATGGGATGGGCCACCACAACATGAGGGTAGTTAAGGCACTAGGCTAGAAAGTAGGAGGAAGTAAGATCTTGTGCCTTAGCCAAGAAAGCTGGCTGGGTGACTTTGGGCCAATCACCAGGTGATGGTGAGTTCTAGTCCACCTTAGGCTGGGTGACTTTGGGCCAATCACCATGTGATGGTGAGTTCGAGTCCTGCCTTAGCCATGAAAGCTGGCTGGGTGACTCCAGGCCAGCCTTTCACTCTCAGGCCAACTCACCTCACAATCTTGTTGTGGTGGGGAAAATATTTTTTGTCAAAATAATAGAGGCAAAGCCAAATGAGCAAATAAAATTGCCTGCATTCAAGGGGAAAGAGCCAAGACTGGGGCCCTGTGCTCCAACCTGCTTCCTTCCCACAGAGACTTCTCGGACAGTTGCCAATTGTGCCGGAATTGTGCTTGTGAGTGCAAACACCCCCAAGCAGATGGCATGCACCAAAGCTGACCCAAAGCCCATAACGGTGAGAAGAAACCAAGGCCCAATAGGAGCATGAAAGGAACGTGTTCAGGTTTTGATGACTGATGGAGGGCTGGGGGAGAAGGGTCATTCACCCAGGGTGGTTTAAGAAGCCTCCCTTCCTCTGGGATAGTGCAGTACGATGTCCTCACCTCCGAGGATAATTCAGGTTGTTTACAACAAGGTGAAGAAAGGCAGCTTCCAACATCAAAGCCGCCTGTATAGAGAAAGGCAATCAGGAAATCAGGGCCTTAAAAGAGGTGTTGGGGAAAGTGGGTGGGTGTATTTTAAGTCTGCCATTCAAAATGCCTCAGGGATGTGTAAGGCCACTGGCAATTCACACCTTGTTTCCTCAAGGGCACTTGGGACTTGTGCTGCTTCAAAAGGATCCTCCCTCATCCGCGTGGCTTGCAATTCACAGGAAGAAGGGCACTGGGGAGCATCTCTTTAGGAATCAACAATTAAAAAATGACTCCTGTAAGATAAGTGTGCTGGCTGCAGAATCCAGATGCTGCCACAACAGACCAAATTTAGAAAGTGCTAACTTGGGGAAATAGAGAAGGCAGATCACAAATTTAAAATGTAGAAACCCTATAAAACTGCAGAAACCGCCTGCATTTCAACAATAAATACCTTTTATAACAAAAATGAGGCTTGCAGATTTAGGCTGCAATGTTTTGTATGGAATTGTTGCTGAGGGGGTGGGGAGGAAACAGACATTTATGCACACATGCTGAATTCTAGTGTGGTTTTTTGTGTGTGTATTTCAATAATGTTGATAATAAACTGGACTGGGTCAGGTGAAAGATGGAAAGGATAACGAATACAAAAAAACCTCCCTTCCTTCTGTATTGATGCCAGGATCAGACCATAAACCAAGCTACAGAGTCACTAATGATCTAAGATTTTGTTAGATTAAAAAAATAATTGAATAATGCAGAATGTACAAACTTACTACAATTTTTTAGCTCAGCCCTTTTCATCTATAGTGCTGAACAAAAGGCTAAGGGTATTATTTCCCTGAAATTCACCAATGAAGGAACAAGCCCCACATCTGGACAAAATGTTTGAAGCCTGAAAAAAACTTTCCCAACCAAATACAGCCTCATTAGCAAATGTGTAGAGCTCCTTTGACGAGCCGCTCCCCCTCCCTCCGCCCCGTGACAACAGGTACATCAAGCACCCATCAGCCAGGATCCCTTTCACACATCCCTGGCAACATGTGCCTGCTGTAATCAGGACCACAAAACATCTGTGGGAACTTGGCTTCAGACTTTTCCCCATGGCCTGTCCTAGGCTGAGGGCTGAGTCATTGTGTCACAGGAAATCGCCACCCAAATATTGTCTCGGTGGCACAAAAGGGATTTGGGAAACTGGCCTGGATTACATTCTGTACTCAGGGAAAGGGAAACGTTTTTCCCTGTTCCAAGTTATGACTGGCTATTCTGCAAGTTGCACATACTTTGTTCGGAGTTGGGATGAGGAGAAACAGAGCATCCATAGAGATATTTTGTAAAAGGAGTCATGAGTATTTGCTAGTGGGGGGGGGAGTAAAAATCACAAAAACGAGGAACAAATCATAAGACACTGTTCAGGAAAGCATAAGAAAAGCAGTTTGGTCTGCTGGTTAAGGCACCAGGCTACGAAGCAGGAGAGTGTAAGTTCTAGTCCCGCTTTGAGTATGAAAGCCAGCTGAGGGACTTTGGGCCTGCCACTCTCTCAGCCCAACCCACCTCACAGGGTTGTTGTGATGAGGAAAATAGGAGGAGCAAGGTATATTGGATACGTCCACTACCTTCAGTTATTTGCAAAAATAATAAAGGTGGGATTCAAACAAACAAAACAAAAATAAGAGAATACCAGTAGCCATTTTTCTCTTATGACAACGTATTAAGCAAAGAAAAGCAAATTATAAGTAGTCCTCAACTTACAAACACAACACTAGGACCAGAATTTCCAGTACTAAACAAGACATTGAGTCAGGTCCAATTTTAAGATCTTTTTTTTGCCATTGTTACGCAAATCACAGTGTTTGCTAAGTGAATCAACACAGTTGTTAAACAAATCTGGCTTCCCCCATTGACTCTGCTAGTTGGAAGCTGGCTAGGAAAGTTGCAAATGCTGATCACATGATGCCCCCCAAAAGGACAGTGCAACCATTGTAAATACATGCTGGTTGACAGGTGCTTGAATCTTGATGATGCCACCATGTGGATGCTGCAGCAGTTATTCCTGCCTGTCAGTCACTTTTTTCAGTGCCATTGTAACTTTGTATGGTTGCTAAACAAATGGTTTTAAGTCAACAACTACCTGTAACAAAACTGGAACATTGCAAACCTGCCATTAAGAAGGTCACCACTCACACAACCTCCTCCTTTCTTTTTGCAACTGTGAAGTCCTGCTAGGACTGCTGAGGGGGCAGATTTGAGGCCGGGAGTTTGAGCTGGTTATTTTTGGAGCTCAGCAATTCCTGCCACCTCACTGCACAAGGCCAGAGCTAGAATGCTGGATGTCAACATGGAATAAATAGGTTCGAGTCTAATCAAGGTCTCCTGGTGAACTTGAAAAACTTCCATTCCCAGTCTAAGTGGCCTTTCAGGGCTGCTACCATCTAAAGGACCAACCACCACAATGAAAAAACAGGTGATTGCTATTTTGGAAGCTTGCGCGCAAAGGAGTTTTGCTCCACAGCAGGGGTGTCCAACCTTGGCAACTTTAAGATTTGTGGACTTCAAGTTCCAGAATTCCCCAGCCAGTGCATGGGGTCCACAAATCTTAGAAGTTGCCAAGACTGGACATCTCTGCTCTACAGGGATATATAATCCTTGCAATGCTAGCATTCAACACATTTCATCGCTTGCTTTTCCTAGTCAATTTTTACAGACAATAAATTTATTTGGAGCTCAAATTAAACTCTTCTGTGCTTCTGATAAAACAGGTACAACAACTGACTTTAGACTGTCCAGCATCTTTTGAACACTGAACGACCCCTAGTGGCAGCCACCTAGTTAACAAGAAAACTTCTTTTAGATAATAAAGCATCCTACCTTCACACCATTTTCATCCACTGAATTACGACCTGTCGGAAAGAGAGGGTGAGTGAGTGAGTGAAAGAATGAGAAATGTTTGTCAACAATGAGAAATAGGGAGCCATTTAATAGCCTGGGGAGACGTACATATGAATCTTGAGGACCTCATCTCATCACACTTCCTACCAACAATGGAACTAGGTTTAGGATAAAGAAATAAAACTAAACACAATTCTTTCCATCAATCAATCTTCCAGGCTGACCAAATAATCACTAATGCCAACAAAGAGGACATAGCCAGTATCTTAAAGACCTGAAGTAACCATTTTGGCAATAAACTATTCAACCCTTCACCTTCAGAGCACTGTCATGTATAGTTTGATTTCAAACAGAAACCCCCATCAACACAAACACTGTACCTGGAAGATATTATCCAGAGACCTGGCCCCAGGGTACAACTGCAACAATTCAGATTGATCATAAACCAAAGAAGGGAGTTTCGATATGATGCACTGACCGGTGCTGATTTTAACTTGGGCGTCCCGTGAATTCACAGGCCGAAAGGTGACTTACCAAAGATGTAGATAATTGCTACGCCGTTGCCAGCTCCGAGAAGGCCTACTATCTGCAGCAGTCTCTTTGTATAGGTGGGGTTCTGCTTTTTTGTCTTTTCTTGTTGTTCATCAGAGCCTTTCCCATCTTCTTCTCCTGTTGACTGGAGAGAGAGAGAGAGAGAGAGAGAGAGAGAGAGAGAGAGAAAAGCCTGAATGGAGGTAGGGCACAATTGCAGAAACCATATGCTGGTAGTCCTCCACTTAGGACCATAATTGAACCCAACATTTCCAGTGGTGAGACAGTTGTTAAGTGATTTTTGCCTCATTTTACACTCTTTCTTGTCAACATTAAGTGAATCCCGACAGCTGTTTAGTAACACAGTTGATAAGTGAATCTGGCTCCCCAATTAACTTTGCTTGTCAGACGGCCGCAGCAAAAGGGGATCCCGTGATTTCATGACCACTGCAACCATCCTAAGTATGAGCCAGTTGCCAAACAACCGAATTTTGATCACGTGACCACCGTTTCTTCACACTAACGGCCACACCGCAACGGTCGTAAGCGTGAAAAACAGCCATGTCCTTTTTTTTGCACTGGAGGCTCAGCCAATCTCATTGTATGCATGTTGTATTCCGACAATAAAGGTTTGAATTTGGAGTTGTAAAGTGAATCCGGCTTCCCCATTGACTTTGCTTGTCAGAAGTCACCAAAGGTGGCTTCTTGATGACTCAGGGACACTGCGACCGTCGTAAATATGAGTCAGTTCATTAGTGACTGGATTTTGATCACGTGACTATGAGGATGCGGCAAGGGTCGCAAGTGGGAAAAGGGCCACGAATCAGGGTTTTTTTCCACTTCCACTGTGGCTTTGGATGGTCAGTAAGCGAATGGTCGTAAGTAGAGGACTACCTGCATTTTTGAATGACAGGACGCCCACCTCAGGACTTCCACTCTGATGCTCACTGAAGGCCCGTCTCTGAGCTCGCCCTGAAAGGCTGGTGGGCGTCTGGGCTGCCGCTTCTGGCTTGGCTTAACCTACGACTTACACTCCGAGCTTCCAGTAGGCGAGGCCCGGGACCCCAACCCCTGGAGCCCGACCCTTGCAGAGGCCTCCGTGATGGCCGCCCAACCGCCACGGGAGGGTGGCGGTGGCCCCCGACGGCCTGGCCTGGCCGGCCCTCACCTTCTGCTGCTGCTGCTGCTGCTGGGCGACCTCCCTCAGGACGGCTCCGGTCAGCCCCGGCCCCGCCGCCTTCGCCTGAGGAGGGACCCCCGGAGGAGACCCCGAGCTCCACGTCCGCCCCGACAGCGCCCAGGCGCCGCCCCGCTTCCAGCGCCGGCACCCGCCGCCGCCGCCCCGCAACGCCCGCAGCCCGCCCGTCAGAGCCGCCTCAGACAGAACACGAGCGGCAGCCACCACCGCGGCCATCTTTGCTCGGGGACGCCCCTCGCGCCTGCGCCGGCCCTTGGCCAATCAGGAGCGAGGAGGCGGGGGGGGGGGGCGTCGAGCGCGTGCCGTGGCTGGGGAAAACTGAGGCGACCAATCAAGAAAGCGAAAAGTGGCCACTTGCCGCCCCCCTCCCCGCCGTAGCCGGACTGCCCGCCCTTCGTCCAATAACAGAAGCGGGATTTGTCACGGTACCCAATCCGCCAGCCAGCTCCACGCCTCCCAGGTTTCTCCGACCAATCGTGCCTCAAAGGGGGCGTGAGACCAAAGCTTTTTATTAAAATAAACCGCCGCAGTTCCCATTGGCTAGAAAGCGAAGGGGGCGGAACGTTTTCTTCCCTACCGGTCTTGCCGGAAAGCGACAAGGTTAGAGCCGAAGGGACAGCCAGGCACGTGTGAAGAGCAAAACACGTGCCTTAAAAAAGGAAAAACCCCCGCCCCCTTTACACGTTATACAACCAAGGCATCCAGTTAGCGCTGATAGTATCAAAATAATATTAATTTTAATTAAATTAAAATTAAATAGTTTTATCTTATTGCAGAGGTCTCCAAACTTGGCAACTTTTACAACTCCCAGAATTTGGAGTTGAAGTCCACAAGACTTAAAAGTTGCCAAGTGCCTGGCTTTGATTGTAAGCTGGCCAGAATTACCCTCGTTGAGATGGGAAGCATAACATAGTCCTTGACTTCATTTTGCAACAGCACTGAAAAAAGTGACTTGGGGCCATTTTTCACACTTATGACCGTTGCAGCATCCCTGTAGCCACACGATCAAAACTCTGTTGGAAACTGACTCATATTTATGACAGTTGCAGTGTCCCGGGGATCACGTCATTTCCCTTTGGAGACCTTCTGATAATGGGGAATGCGCTTAATATCCAATGTTGCTAACTTGACAGCTGAAGTGATTCACTTAACACATGTGGAAGTCGTAAAATGGGGCAAAACTCAACTTGACGAATGGCAACATAAAACTTGGCCTAAATTGCGGTTTTTAGTTGAGAATTGCCTGTATAAGTAAGTAATGTAGGTAGAGAGACAGACAAATTCAAGGTTTCTGTAGGGAGGCATTCACAGTGTAAAATCTTTTTATGAGATGATTTTATTAAAACAAGCTACAGGTTGGATGTTTCGGTGCTGAAGAGGCCATAAAGTGCTACGGAAGAGGGGGGGAATGGAGGGCACGGTGCTCCACCGGCGGCAGCTCTTCTTCATGACACAATTGCTAGGTTGTCCCTCACCCGCAGCGCTTGGGAAAAAGAAGCGGCAGGAAGAAACTTGTGCAACGCACCCCCCCCCCCCCAAAAAAAATATAAACTTTCCTCAGGAGCAAATCTGTACAAAGCCTTGGCAGTGCAGGCAGGAGGCAACCGGCTAAGTGAAAAAAAGAGGGAAGAAGAAAACGCGACCAAGCCCCCCACCCCCTTATCACACCCCACTCGTGTTCTCTCTGCCCTGCCTTTAAGCTTCTACGAGTTTGCCCAGGAAACGCAAGTTGAGGATTCGGAGCTGCTCTTCTGGGTTCATGCGGACGATGCCGTCTTCCCCGTCAATGCTCAGCAGCATCCCCGTCGCTTCGCGGTCTTCTCCCAAGAGGACTTTGACCTGCAAGGCAGGAGAAAACTCAGAGCGACTTGGCTAGAAAGTGAGCC